TGCACTGTCCATTTAGTCCACCCAATTCTTTCTTTGGGGGAGAGCCCAGGGCTGGGGCGGCAGGAGGTGCAGGTGGGGGCCAGAGCTGGGGTGGCAGGGGGTGTGGGCGGGGGAGAGTGCAGGGCTGGGGCGGCAGGAGGTGCGGGTGGGGGGAGAGCCCAGGGCTGGGGCAGCAGAGGGGTGCAGGTGGGGCCAGAGCTGGGGCAGCAGGGGGTGTGGGCGGGGGAGAGTGCAGGGCTGGGGCAACACAGGGGTGCGGGGGGAGCCCAGGGCTGGGGTGGGGGGCGGCAAAAAACCTAGAGCTGGCTCTGTCCCTACCATTCACAGCAAGCTGCAGCATGAGGTTTCAGTTCCACACTCCCTCCCCTTCCCTTTCCTGTTGATTACGGCTGAGGGAATGCTGTGAAATGTAGTTCTTTCCCTGCTCCAGGGCTGGCTCTATAGGCAGGGAGCTAACCAAGGAACTACAGCTCCCAGGGCCCCCTGTTGGTTCTCAGCTCCCATGCTGGATTCTTGTGCCCCTGCAAATTTGCCGCCCCAAGCAACTGCTTGCTTTGCTGGTGCCTAGAGCCGGCCTGGTTAAGGCTGAAAGATGATTTCTCTTCAAGTTGCTTCAATCTCCTCTTCAGGAGGTCAGACTAGAGCAGGGGTCGGCAACCTTTCAGAAGTGGTGTGCCGAGTCTTCATTTATACACTCTAATTTAAGGCTTCGCATGCCGGTAATACATTTTAGCGTTTTTTAGAAGGTCTCTCTATAAGTCTATAATATATAACCAAACTACTGTTATATGTAAAGTAAACAAGGTTTTCAAAATGTTTCAGAAGCTTTATTTAAAATTAAATTAAAATGCAGATCTTATCAGTTTAGTGTGATCCTTGCCCTTGCTTTTCCTTGCTGAGTTTTGCAATGTCTGGCACATATTTGGATACTTTAAGCTGCACACAGGCTTCTGAGTGATCAGTTGTTAACCGGCTCCGAGAGGGACAGAGGACAGATTTCATGTGTGAAAATACCTGTTCACACAGGTATGTGGATCCAAATGCTGAAAGCATTGCCAACGCAATTTTCTTCAAACAGTTAAATTTCACTGGCAGGGATGTCCAGCAGGTCAGAATAGAGGCCCCATGATCTCTCTCGGTAGCTTCAAGTGCACTCCGCGGATCTCCAAACTTTGATCCCCACAATTCTGAGCTTTTTAACTGAATGAGCTGCATTTCAAACTCTTCAACACCCATCCACTGAAATACAGACAAATCCAAGTCGCTTTTGTTGAACTTTTCAGGTTTAATTAGAAAATAAAGCATTGGACCAAATCGCTGGAAATCTTGAAATCTGTCAGAAAATTCTGATTCTAGTTCTTGCATGTACTTTCCAATCTCATCGACACTGACAGTGCAATGTGTCGATAGCTCTTTTATGTGTTGGAAGTAGCAGAAAGTAGAAGTTTGAATATCCCTGGAAAAAACTGCTAGTTTCACAACAAATGCTTTCCAGGCTTCATAAAGATCCAGAACTGTTTGCCCTGCACCCTGGAGACAGAGGTTGAGTTCGTTTAGGTGAGCGGTGATACCAGTTAGAAACATGAGCTTACACAGCCATTTGTCATCAACCAATTCAGGGTAGTTTTGTTCTTTTTCCGACAAAAAGGCCTTGATTGCCTCAAAACAGTTTACAAAGCCACGACTTAGCCACCGAATGTTGCTGTGAAGTGGGATGTCATTATAAGCACTGTCCATCTCTTCTAGCAGTGCTTGAAATTGTCTGTGAGTCAAAGCAGATCAAGCAACAAGGAAATTCACAATTCGCACCACTATATTCATCACATTATTAAGCTCTGAATTAGAAATTTTAGCACACAGGTTTTCTTGATGGAATTTGACTGTCGGACAGCCAATTTGATCTTCAAGTAATTTTACAAATCCCTTCTGTTTTCCGACCATGGCAGGAACACCATCTGTTGTCACACAAAATATTTTTCTGATGTCAACTCCTCGTTCTTCAAAATGGTTTATAAAACTTTCCAGTATATCTTCCCCCTTTGTTGTGCCATGCAGGGGTTTTAGGCAACAAAGTTCCTCTTGGATTTTATCGGAAGTACAATATCTTGCAAAATTGCCAAACGTGGAACGTCGTTTATATCCACGCTCTCATCAACTGCAACACTAAACACTGCTGTGTCTTTCAATGCAGTAATCTGCTTTTCCTTCATGTTTTCTGCCATTTCACTTATGCGTCTCTCAACTGTTCTGGCAGAGATGAGCAGTTTTTTATTCTAGATATGATTGTATCTTTATTTGGAAATCATTGAACAAAATCTCCAAACTGCTGAGAAAAACTTCTTGTATATATTCCCCATCTGTAAACGGCTTTCCATTTTTTGCAATGCACTGTGCAATCTTGTAACTTCCTTCTGTATCTTGATTTTTACTTATACTTAAGCTTTTAAAAACACTGCTTTGCTTCTCATAGGCTGCTACTGCCTTTTTGATTGATTCAGTCTTGTCTGCTTCGTCAAGCAAGATTTTCTCATGCTTCATTTCAAAATGTCGAACACTTGATGTGCGAAATACAACATTTTCATAACAGAAAGCACAAATAGCACGGTCCTTCTTTTCAATAAATCCAAATGCGTCTGTCCAAGCAGGCTGAAATGATCGGACATCTAGCTTCGCTTTCTTAGGAACTGCCATTTTGTCAAATGTTCCCTTCAACTCTGTGGGGGAAAAAAATGGCGCTAGAAGGCAGGCACAAGGTCAAATGCAGTGTGGTCTGATATAAACAATTTTAAGATGGGGTGCTGAACTGCACCCCCTCTTGCCTCATGTGCAACTCTCACTGTCCCAGGCTGGGGACAGTGAGCCACAGCGGGGAGGCTGCAAAGCACTGATCCAAGGCCAGGAGCAAAGCCCAGGGTGGCTTGCTGGGACTCCAGGCCGGAAAGCAGGCTGAGCAAGGCTGGAGATCCAGACACTGGCTGGCAGGAGGTCAGCGGCTGGAACCCCAGATTGGCAGCTGAGGTGAGTGGAGCTGGCAGCTGGTAGGGCTGAGCAGGGCCAGAGGCCTGGACCCTGTCTGGCAGGGGGCCTCCAACTGGAAGCAAGGTGAGTGGAGCTGCGGTGGTGGGGACCCCTGCTGGCGAGGGGCCAGCAGCCGGAATCCCAGAGCAGCGACTGAGCGGCTCAGCCCGCCGCCAGTCTGGGGTTTCCACCGCCGACTTCTGCCAGCTGGGGTCTCAGCCCGCTGCCAACCTGGGGTTCCTTCCCCCAGGCCAGCAGCGGGTGCTGAGTTGGACCCACGGCGGGACCCCGCCTGGCAGGAGCCAACAGCGGAAACCCCAGAGCAGTGGCGGGCTGAGTGGCTCAGCCCGCGCTGCGTGCCATCAAAAATCGGCTCGCGTGCCACCTTTGGCATGCGTGCCGTAGGTTGCTGAGACTAGAGGATCTGGGGGTGCCTTCTGGTCTTAAACTCTAGTCTATGACTCTATTGCTTATCAATTTTTCAAGTTAACTTTTGTTTGAAATGTATCCAGTTTAGCTTTTCCTCACATTCTTTAAAGTTAAATTAAAAAGCAAACACACAGACTCACACAAAAAGCAAGCAAGAAAACAAAAACAGGTTTTATATTGCAATACAATTTTAAAAGTTAAATTTAAAAGCAAAGAACTCCACACCAATTAAACAAACTCCCATCTGAAGACCCAATTTTGTACTAAAGTTTTCTTGTCAAAGGGGGGATAATGACACTTACCAATTTCTATATCTTTTTTCCCTAAAAAATAAACAGAAATAAATATTAAAGTTTATAATGAGCTTCCCTTCTATGTTATATTTGTCTCCTATTTAGTATAATTACTGTGCTGAATATATTGTATGTATTTGCCTTATTTCCTTGGAGTCTCCAACTATCTGGCAAGTAAGTGGGGGTTACCCTGTGGTTAGAATTTTCCTCCCAAGTTGTCCTGGTGACCCTGCCAGGAAGGAGCGAGGGGGTTGGAGGGACCGCAAATAAATTCATAGGGAAAAATAAAGAAGATACACCTTGCTGAGTGGGTGGCGGGATCCAAGTCCTGTCCATCAAAACCTGTAAGCAGATTGGCATTAAAGAAGGTAACCAGGTGAAGAGGGGGCGCTACGTATATATGTACACATTTAAAAAAAGTCTAACTGATTTCCTGGTTACAATGTCAAAGCAGCAGGGGACAAATGCTCTGCCTTGCCTAAGAGTGGTAAATACAGAACTTTCCAATCACCACCACCACCATTACACAGTCTCATCAAATAAGAAGGCTGCATTTGATTTTAACTACACCCCTAGGTAACAACTGGTAGTGAACCCATGAGAAGGCCTTTAAGTCTGGCAGTTCCATCTTAGCCACTAATCCTAGAAATGACTGCAGAGCAACTGAAAGGCCATATGTGTCCAGAAATCCTTTGCCTCCTAAGAACCTCTTTGGGAGTCAATCAATAATTTCTTTTGTGCAAGAAAGTGCTTTGGCCTGCCTGAAAACGTTTTTAATAACATGTTGGGAAAGTTTTCTGCATATTTTCTATGCTATGAAAGTGGCTGTTTGCTCAAAGTTAGATGCACTGTGTTATTCTAAAATAATTTATGAGCAGGGAGTCAGAGTTACTGTAATAGGAAAGAATAAAGCCTGTAGCCCACACAAAGATAATACAGACACAAGCCACTGACCTGCTACCTGCAGTTCCAATATACTTTCTTCATAAAAAGTATAATCTTGAACAGAGGAGTGGTATTGTCCTTCATCAGAGCGTCTGATATTGAGAATCCTCAAGGGAACATTTCCATCTGTGAATCCAGCTTTCAAAAGCTCTGTCCTCCGATACTCTGGCATTTTCCCATCATACTGATCATTCCCATCATGATACAGGTGCACAAAGGATAAAAACTGAGATCGGAACCATCTCACCTCCATGTTTGCAGCGCTCATCTGGGGGGACAGGTGACAGGGTAACACAGCTTCCTGACCCACGATGGCAGTGACAGGGTCATGGGGTCCAATCCCTGTGAACTTTGCTGGAAAATGAACCAGAACAACAATAACAAAAAGCAGCTCAGAGGAAAGTGGGGATTTGATATGAAGGACACATGAACAAGGTTCCATTTCAGACAAACTTTCCAAAAAGTTCAGCCAGAGACAGACACCCGGCATGGAACATTTCAGCCTGAATGTTTAAGAGACAGCAGCGCTCATGGGCAGCAGGACTGGGGCTCTGTTATAAGAACACAGCCTCAGTGTATGGCACAGGCACACAGCACTGAGATGGGGCGTGGAGATGATAACAGGCAAGTTTGGTGCCTGGCACAGGCATGCAGTGTTGACACGGGGTGGGAAGCTGACGATGGGTGTGTTCAGTCCATGGCACAGTCACGCATCAGAGAAACTGAGGCAGAGAACTGGGAATGGGCATGCTCATTGTACAGCTGAGACAAGCTTACCATTCAACAGGTTTTGTTTCTAAGTGATCTGATATTGACATGCTTACTTACATTGTCATAAAATTTGCTGGGCCTCACCAGGAATAAGGGTAGGGTTGGTGGGCCTTTTTGGTGTTCTTTCACCAAGGTGCTCCTGGGACATGGCCCTATTGCTAGAGCCAATTGTTTGACTATTATGGTTCAGTTCTTCATATGATCAAGAGACCAAATAACCAAACTTAACCAATTGTATTGCCTAAAGACAAAACAGTGCACTATGAAAAAGAGACATCCACACCCTCCTTCCTGGATGCAATTCTTATCTTGCAGCTTGCTCACCTTAAACAGAAGGTGTGCTTCAAAAATACACCCCAAACCCACTTATATTTATACTGTGGCTGTTTACAAGTGAAAAAGCTCTTGATACATCACCTAAGATCCAGCTCCTTAACTTGTTCTTCTGTATCTTTTTTATCCCTGTTTTGGAGACCACATTCCAAACCACATGGGTGAAGAGGCACAGCCTAACCAGTGCTAGGACACACCTTTCATGTATCCTGGCTTTGACAGGCCTCCTATTTTCTATTGTGAATGCTAACTTCAGTTTTGCAAACTTTGGTGGGATATTTGATATTGGTGAACAGAATTGTGGGACGAGCATAATACATTCAATTAACTTCCCAACACTTTACATATAAATAATCACATGACATCAAAATATTCTGGTTCTTATTATATTTTTGTGCACATGTGGGGCTCATATTACGGCTCTGATCTTTTTTGCCTCTGAAACCCACTAAGTTAATTTATTTACATATTAATTATTGTTATTTTTCTTGTTATTATTCATTATTTATTAAACTCTTCAATAAGTGTCCAGTCAATGCTTTGGGCATCTTCGACAATCTTTTAAAAATACTTGTGTGAAGAAACAGACCTGGGCACTATCCCAGGAGCAAATAAAATAACCCAGCAGCAACACAATCAGAGCCAAAATTGAATAATGAAGGTGCTGATCTTGCTGTGTGGTTAAGTTTACACACTGTGAGTAGTTCCACTGACTTTGAGTGAAGCATGTTGTTCAGAGGCCTAAATAAATCCTCTAAGAAACAGCAGACACAGGGTGGATTCCTACCTGATTCCATCTTGTGAACATAACAAATAAGGAAGAAAACAATAAACCCAGGGAGAGGGGAGCTGGCTCTGGAGCTGTGGCAGAATGAGAGAATCTTCATCTTCATTGTAACTTGATCTAGACAACAAGAAGGAGGAGGGGGAAAAAACCTCCCCATAGTGAGCATAACACTGATTAACATTAAATCATTAAAGTCAAACATTAAAGAAGGCACATTAAATAAAAAAGAAATAATTACATTGTTCAGTGAACTCTTTCATATTACAGAGAGCTCTCCCGTCAGCATAATAAAACCACCTCCATGAGCAGCAGAAGCTCTGTTAATGTGAGAAGCTCTCCAGCTGACATAGCACTGTGCACAACGGTGCTTATGTTCACAAGGGTGGCAGGTTTATATAATTTTTTGTGATGCCCAGAACGGGTCCAAGTCCCACCCCTTCCACCTACCTGCCTAAGGCTCTGGGAGGGAGTTTGGGTGCGGGAGCTGGGAGGGGTTGGGGTCTGGGAGGGAGTTAGGATGCAGGCTCTGGGCTGGGGCAGGCAGTTGGGGTGCAGGAGGGGGTGCAGGGGACAGGCTCTGTGTCAGGGCCGGCTCCAAGTTTTTTGCCACCCCAAGCGAAAAAAATTTCCCGTGCCCCCCGGCCCCACCCCATTCCAACCCCTTCCCCAAATCCCCGGGCCCGCCTCCTCCCCCGAGCGCGCCGCATTTCCCCTCCTACCCCTCCCTCCCAGGCTTGCCGCAAAACAGCTGATTCGCGGGGCAAGCCTGGGAGGTAGGGGGGAGAAGCGTAGCAGTGGCGGCGGCGTGCTCGGGGAGGAGGCGGAGGTGAGCTGGGGGGGAGCGGTTCCTCTACCCCCCCAGGGTTACTTCCTGAGGCCCTCCCCGCGCCCCCCATTGCCGCAGCTCACCTCCGCTCCGAATGCTCTCCTGAGTGCGCAGCCGCCGCTCCGCTTCTCCCCCCTCCCTTCCAGGCTTGCCGCAAAACAGCTGATTCCCACAGCAAGCCTGGGAGGGAGGGGGGAGAAGCGGAGTTAGCAGGCGGCAGTGGAGCAGGGGTGAGCTGGGGGGAGCAGTTCCTCTGTCCCCCCCCAGGGTTACTTCCTGCAGCCCTCCCCATGCCCCCCACTGCCGCAACTCACCTCCTCTCAGGGCCTGCACTGCAAGCAACAACAACAACAACAAAAAAGGAGCCGGAGTGCCACCCCTTGGAAAGTGCCGCCCCAAGCACATGCTCGGAGGGCTGGTGCCTAGAGCCGGCCCTACTCTGGGTGGGAGTTTGGGTGTGGGGTCTTGGCTGGGGCAGGGGGTTGGGGTACAGGAGAGGGGATGGGGTGCAGTGTTTACCTCGAGTGGCTCCCGAAAGTGACCCGCACCCACCACTGGCAGCAGCTCCTAGGTGGGGAGCCAGAGGGATCTCCACATGCTGCTGCCTGCAGGCACCGCTCCCGCAGCTCCCATTGCCCGCAGCTCAGGCGGGAGCAGTGCGTGGAGACCCACCCCACCCAGGGGCCGCAGGGACATGCTGGCTGCTTCCAGAAGCAAAGAGGAGCAGGTGGGCAGGAAGTCGCCTTAGCCCTGTTGCACTGCCAGTGGTGGCAGCGGGGGCCCTGGGCCCTTTTAAATTGCCAGGGGTGGCAGGCAGGGCCAGGGGGGACGCTCTGAGGAAGGCACAGGGGCAGCAGGCAGGGCCGCGGGAGAGACCCGGCTCCGAACTTTGATGGAGCCGGGCCCCCATGCTCTCATATTGGTGAGGCACGGGCACCATGGGCCCTTACAACTCGACACCCCATATGTCTGTGTAACTTATGTTAGTCAGGGAGTTGGTCTATTCACATCCCTGAGCAACGTAAATTCTGCCAACTTCAGCTGTCATGTGGACACAGCCTCAGACGCTTCTCTTTGGCAGAGGAGCCCGGTTTAGGACACACCCCTGTTGTGAGCATTTCCCATTGCGTAGTTGAGATGGCTCCCCACCTAGCATGCTGGCTCTTGTGGATGGCATTGTAAGGCACGTGCCTGTCTCCGTTCATCGTGCCAGGAGACTAGACACCTAAGTCAGGCTTTGTGGGTTGCAGTGTTCTTCTTGTGATGTTCTAAGCACCTACAAATTAGGAGCAGGTGATGCTCAGCATTGTAACCACCTAAGTCCCTTCATGGATCCCACCCCCAGTCACTTACATTAGAAGCTCACAGAAAGCAAAGACACAGACCTGGCCGAAGGTGGGATGTCTCCTTTTTCTCCCTTTAGATCCCATCTTTTAGCTCATGGCCACCCTAGGTGAAGGGGTGTTTTTTTTCCCAATGCAATAGCAAACACAAGGCAGTGATCTTATTATACAGTCCCAGTGGAGATAAGCCAAGTGATTCTTTCACCTCAGTATAGCTACTCAAGGTGATTGTTAACCCTCCCAAACACCCCACAGAATTCTTATGACCAGTTACACTGAGGTGAAACCACCACTTGCCTTGTCTACACACAGATTGTACAAAGAGAGAGAGAAACCTGCACCCTAGTGTAGACAAACCCCCAGAGACTGTCTCTGGGAGGAGGTCCCATCCCATGACCCGCCCCTCCGCCCCCCGTGAACACCACAGCAATTGCTGATGGACAGAAGAAATATGAACAGCATAGTTCATATCTCTTTAGCCACCTTTGAATAAATTCAACACCTCTGGAAATAGAAGAGTCAGCACCATGTGCTCAGCCCAGTTGAGGAATTCCTGATTGACATGGCTGTAGACAACACAAGGAACAGAGTGCAGATTGGATAGCAACATGTCACAGTGAAACCCCAGCTCTCATCAGAGGGACATGGCGCTGTATTCCCTGCTGGTGCTGGGGGGACACAACCAAGTAGGGAAGCAAATCCCACGACTCTGCCCCTAATAACTGCAGCTGGAAAATGTAAAAGGAACAAATCAGAATCGTCTTTCATTCTTTATTTACTGAAAATACCCATCAGAGTGCAAAGGAGTTGAGAAGCAGCTTTAATACCCACAACAATGGAAAACAGACCCACAAGTTTTGGGAACAGTTATTTTAATGAAACTAAAATGGCAATGTCAAGGTTCTTTCCCCACTCTGAACTTTAGGGTACAGATGTGGGGACCTGCATGAAATACTCCTCTAAGCTTATTTACCAGCT